TACTTTGCCCTCTTTCCACACCTTCTCCAGTAGTGGTGTCATCAAGTCCGCTGTTGTCTCTGGGTCTATTTTCAAAGCCTCTGCTGGGATTCCATCTGGTCCCGGTGTTTTCCCAGTTTTAAGCATCTTGATTGCATTCAGGACTTCTGATTTCGTCGGGGGGTCAGTGTTCACTGGTAGTTCTGCTTCCGTTGTTGGTATTGCTGGACGTGTTGTAGGTGGCGGACGATTTAGAAGTCTTTTGAAGTGTTCAACCCAGTGCTTTCTCTGTTCCACCTCTTTGGTGATTGACTTTCCATTGTCGTCCTTTATTGGCTTAATCTGTGTCGAACGTTTGCCCGAAAGGTTCCTAGTTGTTTGGTAGAGTGTGGCGAGGTCTCCTTTGCCTGCAGCTTGTTCTGCTTCGTTTGCCATGGTTTCATAATATTTTCTTTTGTCTTCCCTGGCACTTTTCTTCACTCTTTTGTTCAGTGTATTGTAGCTTGCATTCAGCTCCTGTTTTTGTTGCTCGTCCGTGCACTGGATAATCTTTTGCTTCACTGTCCTTCTCTCTTCTATTAGTTTCCAAGTGTCCGTAGTGAGCCACTGTTTGTCCTGTCTCTTTTTTCTGCCTAGAATTTCTATGCAGGTTTGGCTCCACACCGTTTTCAAGTTGTTCCAGTGCTTTTCAACGCCGACCTCTTCGCTAGTGTTGATTTGTGTCTCGGCTTTGTCCTTTATGCTTGCAATGAAGATGTCCTTTGTAGCCTGGTCCTTCAGCTTTTGAGTGTTGAACTTGGCTTGTGGTCTATCTGCAGCTCCTGATTCTCTGAAAGCTTTTAATTTGATTTGGATTGTCCCTTGTACGAGATAGTGGTCTGAGCCAACGTCTGCTCCTCTTCTTGCTTTTGTGTCCAGTAGGCTGCGCCTCCACTTCCTTGAGATTGAGATGAAGTCGATTTGGTTTTTGGTTTGCCCGTCTGGTGACACCCATGTAGCCTTGTGGATATCTTTGTGCTTGTATACACTGCCACCAATCACCAGTTCGTTGAAGGCGCAGAAGTCGGCGAAGAGTTCTCCGTTTTCATTCATTTCTCCTAGAGCTTCTCTACCCATGATGAGTTCCCTTCCCGTATTGTCTGGTCCCAGTTTGGCGTTCATGTCTCCCATTAGTATTTTCATGTCGCCAGCTGGAGTATTGTCCATTGTTGCCTGTAGTTGCCTGTAGAATTCTTCTTTCTTCTCGAGGTCTGCGTTGTTTGTGGGTGCATAACATTGTATGATTGACACTTTCCTTCCTTTGGAGTTGAACCTGGCGGTCATTATCCTGGACGAAATCGCCTCCCATTGTATCAGGGCTTTCGTTGCCGTTGGTGACATCATGATAGCCACGCCCTCGGTGTGCGTGTGGTTATCTTCTGGGTGACCGGAGTAGATCACTGACTCACCTGTTGACAATTTGGTGAGTCCACTCCCATTCCATCTGCTCTCACATATTCCCAGCACTTGTATTCCGTATCTTTTCATCTCGTTGGCGATCTGGGCAGCTTTTCCAGTCTCGTACATAGTTCGGACGTTCCATGTTCCTACACAGACTTTTTCTTTTGGTGCAAGGAGGTTCACATACTGAAGTTTCTGTAGCAATTTTTGTTTACAGGGTGGGGTTGCTAGCCTCACGCCTGAGAAAAGAATGATTACATTAAGTAAAAGTTTAGAGAGAAGCAACTTTTTGGGTTGCTCCCCTCAAAATCAGAAAATAACGGACAAACAATGAGTCTAGTTTAACTTTTTTTAACAAGTGTTAGTTTATGGCTGCAATGTATGTTAACTCTGATTTATTCAACTGTTCGTTCACTTTTTGTTTACTCATAATTTACCATGGAAATATACTGTTCATGTTTATAATTCTTCAAAAGATTGTTCTGTATAAAAATGATTTGTATGAGAAGATGAAAACGACCCACACTAGCCAGCGATACTTGTTGGCTATATCAAAGTGATCTAAGCACCAGACTGCTGACTCTCCGGTTTCGGTTAGTGCTCATCAGCCGAGAGAGAGGCAGGGTTGAACCATTACAGGCTGTCGTAATTCAGACTAGCCACTATGCATATCGATCATTACAGCACATAATGTCATGCTATTCTACCTGCTTATTCGATCACCATTTGTGGTAACAAGCAGATAATGTAATAATGCTGGTTTCCGAAGGAAACTGTGGCGAATTCTCAACCTCGTACGATGTAATATACAAGTGCCGAATCACTTGTAAACTTCTTGCAACCAACGATCACTCTTCAATGCTGTTTCCTTATTTTAGATGGAATTAGAAGCTGTCCTTTTTAAGTGTGTGGTTAGGACTCTCACCAACAATGCACGTGGTCCGGGGTTCGATCCCCTGCCGACGCACACCTGAAATCTACGGTCAGCCTGCAAAATTTGAGCTACCGATATCAGATGCTGAAAATTCCATACTTGTACCAAAAATACTGTGTGGAGTCAAGCTGTAATCAAAAAAGAAGTTATTTTAAGGTTACTAAAATGTCACATAAAATAAAAATTTTGACAGCTCTTTTGTTTTACTCGTTCTATTCATTTTAACTTTTTTATAACACCAAAATTCTTCAGATATTTTTAGTTCCCTGAAAGGTAATATACATATATACCAAGTGAGATAATTACAAAAAAATTAAGAAAATCAGTTCAAAAAACTTTTAATGCTGACGAACCACACGTGTTATTCTCTACACGAACAACGATGCTACCTCGACTGAAAGATGAAGTACCTAGACTAGCCACTTCAAACTGTATCTACCAATTCGACTGCGCCTGTGTATTGAGCGAGTTATATAGGCCATTGCTCTAGGAACTTGATTTTTTGTGCTCGAGAACATCTTCCACTATGGCTAAATAAAAGTGTAATGAAAACCATTAATAATTCGATATTGGACAATCTGGTGCAAACCGGCCACATAGAGAGCATTGAAGAATCCTTTTCTATAATCTTCCGGGTGCCTAATAAATTGCCAAAATCATCGAAGCACCGTAGGCTCCAAATAGCAGAGGCTGTTGCAATTCACCTCAAACAATCAGTGCTCTGTGTTCAAAAGAAACAAGTCCACCCAGCTAGTACTACTGCTCTGGGCTTCAGTAGAGACTATAAATTCATGAATTTGTAATACTATCCTTGTTAATATTTTCTGCCATTCAGCTTATTTTACGTTGATGTGATTCAGCTGTAATCTATCAATATTATTGATTCGATGTTATTTAAGCAAAATTAATGTTGTTCATAACCCTAACTAATTCATACACTATAATGTGTATATAACTGTAGAGCCTGATGATGAAGTTATTGAAAGGAGTACTCTTTGTTTAGTGTCCATTCTTTTGAACATATTTTTCTGTCTTCAAACCCTCATAATTTTCAAAATGGAATTTTTTGCGACTTCAGCAACTAAAGATTTATATCAAATTTGTGATTTACAAAGTTTGAGGAGATGAAATATCACTGCTGTTTTCTTCATAAACTTTAATTATTCAGATTGCAGTATCTGTGATCTACTTGATACCTTAAAGGTTAATCGGGAACACAAACATAAATGCGTACCCCTTTATAATCCTGACTGATTGAGGTGATTGGCTGTTTCCACTCAAATCAGCAGTAGTGGTGAACTGAAGTGATTCTATTCTGTGAGCTGAGTCAAATCAGTTTCACTGTAGAGGAGATCGGCCCCCAAGCCGGTGTTTAGATCACTCTGATCTGGCTACCAAGCAGTGGTCATGATGTAAGTAGTACATAACTACTCGTCTCAGTCGATTAGTAGTATATACTTTTGCTCTGAAAAAAGTAATCCATAATCTGTGGATGGGACGATGCATTCATTTAGCTTCTTTTTAATTTACAGTACCTTGTTTTTTGTATTGCCATTAAAATATTTAATTTTCTGAAAGAAATAACATAAGGACACAATATTCAGCTAAGAGACTCATTTCAACGAATTTATCATCAAGCTGTACAGTCGTATGTATATATGGTTTTTTTAAGAAATTATATCCGGTGAGAGAATTAGGTCAAGGGTGTGAATACATAAAATAATAATAGTAGTATGAAATGCAGTTAAAATATTTGTGATTATAATCATGGTTTAATGTCAAGTGGCAAAACAATTAATGCCATATATAGAATAATACATAAGGTGTACCGATTTTGGAAAGGGGTACATAATTATGGGATAAGTAGACGAATATAAAATGTTACATAACATGGTGTGAAATTACATAAGATAGAATTCAATATTGTAAAAATAAAAATTTAAAAAATTAATAATTTTGGGTTTAGAATGACAAGTGGGTCAAGTGGAAAAGATTCAGAGTGAGAATAGTAATAATAATCATAATGATAATAATAATAAAAATAATCGTATCAATAAGGGAAAAGTACATAGAATAACTAAATAAACAAAATAAATAAATGTCTATCCCTCTACGGCAAAGGCAGAAATAGGGATTGTACATACTTCTTTTGTACACAAAGGTTTAGCTTAAAGTCATGAATTGCCAAGGCCTCAGCTGTCTTTAGAAGTCTATAACGAAGAAAACGCGGGAAGTTAGCATGGATTCTATATATGATCTTGAAATCATGGTCAGCGTTGACCGAGTTATAGAAGTCGGTCAGGTGTTCCAGAATAGAGCTTCGCACACACTTACTTTCTGCCTTGTAAAACCAAGCTGGAATATGTTCTCGAATCCGTGTGGAAAGCCTCCTCTGACTACGGCCAATGTACCTTGCTTCACAAGAGCAAGTGAACTGGTAGATGCACATGGAGGCGGCTGATTGCTTATTTGATTAATGAATCTGGGGAAGAATTTTGTTGACTGGGTTTTGTGTAGTTTAAAAGTCTTTTACACGGAGTAACTATCTTCCCCTAAGAATGACTCTGGTCAGGTGGTTAGATAAACTTAAAAATATTTTTTCAGTAACTATTAGAATTATAACAGTATTTTTCTATCTTATTTTTAGGTTGGTCAAATTCTACATGAACTGCTTCATGCATTAGGTGTAATGCATGAAATTATGAGACCAGATCGTGATCAATATGTGATTCTCCATGAAGAAAACATTGATAAAGCATATTTACCAGAATTTATGAAGATTAAAGATCATCAATCAATTTTAGCAGATCGTCCATTTGACTTTCAATCCATCAGTTTATACGATCCATTTGTAAGGAGGATAGTTTTTTGTCATTGTGTTATATTACTTATTAGTAGTCATTTATATTGACTTGTCAATAATGACTTACTCAGAATCAGTTCATAAATATTAGGTAACTATTGCTTTTTCAGCTGACACATTATTGCATTTTTCTGATAAAAAAACTGAAGGTGTTTTCTTTGAAATGTTGAAAAGTGTCCTTCAGTGATTGCTTGACAGTGACAAACATAAGCAAGTCTTAGAATGAAGAACAAATCATCCGAGAGAGACAAACGATTTCAGTCGATATCTTGTTAAGTCAGAAACACAAATACTGGACTAAATAAACATCAAATTTAATATGTGTGTGAAAAATTGAAAGCATATGAAATGAATTCAACTCATTCCACGTTTCACACTACCTTTATTATACAAAAAGTGAATTTGTAAAGGGAAGTTACTTTAAAAAGGACTGTGGAGAAACTGGCATGTGAAACAATCTTAAGACCTTTTTCGAGATATTTATCTCAAAGCGTCGTAGAGTTCGTATCCTTTAGTAGTTTTCCTTGAATTGTACTACTGTGTGAAGAAAGGACGATAGTGTGGTGAGTGCTACTTATAATCAGATATAAGTAGTATATCAGTAAGCGAATTCAGAAAGTAACAGTATGTTTTGGACACTAAAAAAAAGAAAAGAACTGTAAGAAAAACGTTACAAACATTGTACAAAATCCAAAAAGCTATAGAATGTGCTGATATTCGACCAATTTTCAAATGATGTGCAAATAAAGCATTGAAGATAAGGTATACCAAATTTATGTGGCCCCAATGCGTTCGTCGTGGCAAACTTGCCTTTAAACCTCATCAGTTTTGTCATCTTTACACTATTTTTTACGAAATAGCATTCATCAGTATATTCACTAAAAGGTGCTGCCAGGTTCTTAAACTTTTCTTTCTCATCCATAATGTAAATCGTTAAGTTTTACTAAATAATCATATATTATGCAAAGCTATTTTCAACATTTTGTTGGTGTTCACCAGAGAAACCTTTACTCCTGAAACTCACTGATTATCAACACAGAAATACTATTACACATAATTTGAGTTATTGATAAATGATTCAAAGAACTTTGAGACAGCAAATTAGGAATTATTAATTGATGCCTTAATCATGAATTTTCACTATTATATGCATAATCAAATAGTTCCGCTGACTGATGAGATGATGAAAATAATATCAGGAAAAGATAACTGAAAGAAAACTTTGTTAAAGTAGGTCACTCGTGACATTAACTGATCGTGCCACACCGTAGCAACTACACAGAAGTTAAGAATCCAGTCTAGTAGAAACATGAAAACATGCTGGCCTTTTAATCCGACATGGAGAATTTAAATCAGTTCATTTTATGTTAAAACTTACTCTGAAGATGTTATCTAGAAGGACGATAAAAGCTTAGCAATTAAATCAACCAGCTCAGAGAACACAACTAAGTCACTATCATCCACTTGTGCTAAAAATCTTCTCCATTAGTCCCAAAGAAATGCGTAGTACAGTAATTGATATGGACCAGTGAAGACTGTCAGATAAAAGCAGTGTTCTCTGGCTTCTGATGATTCTCTAATAAGCTTTGGTTAATGACAAGACGTCTCAGAAATCAATAAATCTTGACAAAGTTTACATTTGGATGTCAGTCAGTGTCGTTTAGTATCATTCAACATAGTATTTCAGCTACATTGAATAGTGACCGTACTTACTACTGCGAAGTGATTCATTTATGATCGGTAAATTCTTACTCCAGGTAGTGATTTACGAAAAATAAGCAATTTCAGTATAATTATTCTCAATAAAGTAATAATTTAGAACTATCAAAAAACACCTGATTGTTTCGTGCTATGGAATTGCAGTAAACTGGGCTTGTCATCCGACTTCTATTCACTGAATAATGGGTTTGAACTTTACCTACCAAAGTTCCAGTAATCAGCTAATGTCAGTAGCGTTCGCATAGCAGATTTAACTCATTACCAAATGCATGGAAATGCAAGTAGATGTTGAGTAGCATTCCCTTCCCTTGTTTCACTGTTATGTAAGTATTCTAAGTAAGGTTACAGTTTCAAGCCTAAATTTTGAAGGAGCCGCCAACACTATACCGTTGTATTTATTACAATAATCAAACCTATAAAGCCGATAGAGCCTTATTTAATAATGTTCCTATCCGTATTAATTTATTTCTAGACATTTACATCAAACGGTAATCCAGTATGGGAGCCAATTATCAACTTAGATGATATACCATTGTTTTCAATTAGTGAAAAATATTTATCCTTTGAAGATACAGTTGGCTTAAATCGATTATATCAGTGTGACAGTATGTTTTAATTATTTATTTAATACTTGTGTAATGTGTTGTGTATTCATTATTATAATAGTATTTGTATTTTTTCATCCTTTTGAACGTGGAATAATCATGGATATCTTTAAATTCTACATCAGCAGATTGTTCTTCTTATAGAAGTCCCTAACGGAATGCACCATATAATGCATATTTCATCATCTGACTTTGTGACGTCTTCAGCATTAACATAAGTAATTCATGACTTAGGGTATTACTGAAAATGTCACCAAGCGTGCCGATGAGATTACTATGGTCAGGTACTAAGAAACGGAAGATAATAAATAATTTACATTACCAGCCTGAGCTACAAATCTTCCCTAATGAATGTATCTCAAATAGGCTTAAGAAATGATCTGTGTTAGGTCTTTTTTAAATTAGCCGCTATTCAGTATTTTGGTACTGATTTAAACAAGAAATACCTCCACTTTTTCAATTTCTTAGATAGGATGACCTAACTGAGAATTAAGAACTCTTTCTATATGGGATTATTAAGAGGATCCGGATTTTCAACTCCAATGTGAAGTCAGTGCTACTATACGGAGGGATCAGAAACTTGGCGCGTCATAAAGAGCACTCCAAACAAACTACAGACCTTCATCAATAGCTGTCTTCGCTCAACACCACTCAAGATCAGATGGCCAGCCAGAAAAGATCAGCAACATAGATCTCTGGCAATGAGCGAACCAACCAGGAACCGACTGTGCAACAAATAAGCGGGAAAAAATGGAGGTGGATAAACTATACTCTGAGGAAACCATCAAGTGACATCACTAGACAAGCCATCGCTCGAATGGAACCCGAAAGGGAAGCGACGAGTTGGTGGTTAGTGTGAGGGTGACTTGGAGGAGGTCATGTGAACAGGAGATGAAAGCATGTGGGCAGACCTGGAGCCAGGTGAAAACATTAGAAAAGAACCGAACGCAACGGAAACGTGCAGCTGGAGCCCTATGTCTTTCTAGGAATTAGAGGAAATAATAATAATATAATAATAAGAGGATTTAGTCTTCAGTAGGCCGTTGAACAAGGCCTCCTACTCGTTATGTACAATGTCGAACTCACACAACATAATCACAGAGGTTTCAAAAAACTGACGACAGATTGTCGAATTATCAGCTATATCAATTTTCTAAAACTATTAGAGGAAAAGGAAGAATCAATGCCAGCTCTACTCAAGTATCAAACAAAACAGTTCACAAGGGCTTACAGAATTAAATTATTTGAGATAGGAAATCGAATAACAAACAAAAAATAGAGGAGAAAATAGTAAGAGATTTGAAAACGAATGCTTCCCATTCTTTTAATACATACCTTTGGTTTAAATTGCCTGACAGCGAAGAATTCAAAGAAAGCTATATCAATGAAAACAACCACACAAGTCACACACACACTAGTTTAAAACTCTTTGAAATATAAGGGGAAATACAATGAGGAACTCCAACAAGCATTCTTTCAGTTGTTGTGCGACAATTCATAATTACCGGACTCATTTAGAGTGTGTGTTGAATTCCTATTTTGTTGCTTATTCTTGTTCCATTTTGTTTGTAGAAAGTCCTGATTCCACTGAACACTGAACATTCACTACTATGGTTAATAGTCGATTTGTCTGGAACTCCGTTAAGATGTGCGCACCTGCCAGAGTAATGCAGATGTCTTCTATGCTTTTCTGTAGTTTCATCTTCTTTCAAATTAGGGCGGAAATGCTATTTTTGTATTGAGGACTTCGGAACTATTAAAGGAATATTTCTAAATACCAAACAACTGATCAGATATCAGAAAACATCTTAACTTTGAATCTTTTTATTACTGGTAATCGTTCCTGTATGAATTAAACATTTTCTGTAGCATCGAACCAAGGTCGTTTCACCCTGTTGCTTTACCATAATGTTATTTGATGGGTGATGAATATCATTTGAATTCAGGATTCCTGTTCGGGACTCTTCAGATGGATGCTTCCTCAATCCTCAGGGGTTGATGATGTTCTCACCAGGAAATGGAACCAGTAATCCTGATTTAAAACTCTGAAGTGTCATCTACCAGGCTGAGTGGGATACAAGAGCTACGTGTTGTGCAACAGATATCAGTTATTACTTGTTTCTGCTAGTTTTGTATTTCACGATTATTGATTACATTGAACGGAAATGTTTGTTGTCTGTTGACACATCAGCCCCTACTGCGGAAGGTTTCGATTCCAATGACGTTACAATCCATCACATCAAATGTTAATCCCCATTCCTCATGAAAGCGCTCGTGCTAAGAGCCAATATGTCAACAGAGACCAAAAATCTCGGTCCACTGTGATCAATCAACAAGAAGTACAAAGTGAACTTTAACAAATAGGCTTGTCATAATTATGAGACGTCCCTGATTGTTAGAACTTGAAGCAAATTAGTAGTATGTGAGACAGTATTAGATGACTAATCAATCATATGTTAATATGATTACTGCCTCCAGTGTTTTGTAAGTAACGCAAGTGTAAATGGCTTCTGAAGCTTATTATTTGGTTTTTAGAATAGATCACCTAAAACTTCAGACATATTTAGTTGAGTTGCGAAGTGACAGATAAATTCATCTTTAGAATTGGATTGTTATCATAAGATTTCTATTACGAAAGAAAAGTACATAAACATGGAAATTAGTCACTTGTCCATAAGTTGGTTTACAGAAAGAAGACAATTGAAAGTACTCTAGTAAATATCAGTATGAAGGATGTATTCCTGAGAACTATGCTCATTGTGGAAGTAATTAATTCAGTACTAGCAGACTATGTTATGGCTTTAGCTATCATCTTATAACCATATTTTACACATATCTCAATTCAAAACATGACTAAGGATAAAATAAAGAACTCACTGACTAAATTTATGGTTCGACGTTGACCCATGTTCATAAAATTCAGGTTTACCAAGATTTTGATTAGTTCCACTGCAGAGTATCACTGAGAAATATGAAGGTACTGAGCAGTAAACTCCCAAATAAGGACTAAGTAACTGTCTGGCGCCTTATGGTATTTAATGATGCTGTAACTGATCTGGCTTTGTAACAGTATGTACAATGGAATTTTAAGTTTGCTGTTTTAATTTAGGAAGGTAATAAAATTTCTGCAAAGCTCGAAAATTCACCTCGATGAAGGCGTATAACTACCGCAGTGCAGTCTGTAATCTGATGAAAAATTTTTATTATGAGCAGTAGTACCATATCAGTCATCAAATTTCTATTAAATCATAGAGACATACAAATGCATTCATTGCCAACTGGCTGCTAGCTGACGTGAACATTTAACAGGTTTCATTATGAGGTGACATCAGTTAGAGAACCAATGAAAATCTCGGATTATTGAGCAGTTGTTTTATCCAATTTCGGGATTTTTCACAACTCTCACCCACCGGATCCAGTGGCCCATGAATTCCAACTTCTGCCATTTAGCAATTGCCAGTCAATTTTGATAGGCGAATAACTGTTTTATTGTCTTACCTGGTGGACCCACTAGTTGCTTCTCACTAGAACTTCACAGCCATTCACCAGTGAGCATAAGATTAAATATCAAGTGTTAATTTGCGAGTGTTCCATTAGGTACAGGTTTGATCACGAGGTGATATCAGTTGCAGAACCACTGGAAAACCTAAGAGTAATGGACAACTGTTTCGTTCTAGCCAGGGTCTCTTCGTCAACACACACTTACTGACATTTTCCAGTGGTTCTCTAACTGATTTCACCTTGAGACCAAACTTTTAACCAGTAAAAGTCCTACAGACCAACACTTAATAACATCAGTTTTTGGAGTTCTTAGCGGTACACATCCTTTACCATAGAATCTCTATATTAGAATCAGTCATCTGATGGTTAAAAGGGTAACAAACTTTTTTTAATCAGGTAGTAGGAGATTAACTTCACCTAACAGTTAGTTACTACTTTACGAATGATGGTACGGCTGAAAAGGTTTCAGTTTAAGTCAACGTAAGTATCGCAACTGTGAACCATCACTTTACATTTTTAAGTGTCGTTAGACGTGATATATATAGCACTTATACATCCAAAAAGTGATTCTTTCCGAGGTCTCTTGTCATCTGAAACATCAGATGAAGTATGCAAGTAGTTGATCATATTAACTATTTACGAAATGAATAGAACAGAACCAATTTACTGTTACTTATATGGCTATTACTGCCTGCTTCTGATTACATTGGTATTTAAGTAGTGTGTTTTGTAAAAGACTGAAGTTGTTTAATTTCCCTTAACACTGAAGTCAGTTTTATTCAAAAAGAAAATACTGATTATTTTTATTTTTTAAACTTTCTAGAAAACTGTTCTAATAAGGACACACCTTGTAAACCAGGAGAATACAGAAATAAAAATTGCATCTGTCAAAATTCATCACGTGAGTACTAACTGTTTCCGACTATTATATATACTGAAAACAGAAATACAGGAACATTAAGTGGTACTTTATTGAAAACTTTCATACATTTATTCCCCTTTATGAATTTGAACAAAGCAAGAACTACAGTTTTAGTAGAATAAAATGGTACCATCTTTTATTTCGTTGCCTTCTCGTCAGCTGCTTACATGGCAAAGACATTATTAAATATATCTACAAAAACAATTTTAACATACTTGCACAGAGTTCATTTTAAACAAAAATCAATCGACCAATATACGCATACACTAAAAATATATACATATATAAATATGCAATATTAAACACTTTTCCGAAAAATAATAATCACACACAATGGAAACTTTTAGCATTTCTCATTCGGAAGAAAGAGTGGTGAAAATATCCAGTTACCAGAGCAAAGGAAGACTGATAACTGCTTCTTTCTGGACGCATAGATCAGTTTTGAGGGGCTTGATGGAAATGGCTTCAGCAAACTTAAGGAGAATTGAGCTCCTTTGCCTATTGATAATTTTGAACAACTTTTCGACGTCCACCTTATGACCCGTGTCGAGGAGATGCCTGACGATGGCACTGTTGAAAGCATTTGTTCCCTTTAGACGTAAGCTTTTCGGTACATGTTCAGAAAATTGTAGATATGCCGTTCTTTCTGTCCTTCTAATGTAACTGCTCCCACATATACGTGTAAATTTGTATATACAGTTGGAGTTAACATGAGGAGGATATCTATCGATTTTTGATTGCATTAAAGAGCAAGTTGTTCGATAGACGGGAACGAGCTTAACTTCAGGATAGACTCTGGCTAGTGACATACTCAGTCTTTTGTTGACCATTGCTTCAATGTTTTCACCTTTATAGTCAAGCTGATTGTAGATTGGCTTTTTCTCCGCTGTGATTTGTTTTACATTTGAGACTTCAGACCTTCCGTACCTGTTAATGAACCTTTGAGCGTAACCATTGCTCTTCATTACCTTTTCAAGAAACTCAAATTCTTCCTCTAATTTCTCTACAGAGCATATTCTTTTCGATCTATAGTATAGAGTTTTGACTAGTCCGCGTTTAAAGCTATTTGAACAAAAACTTTTAAAATATAAGTATTGTCCTTTCCATGTGGGCTTTCGATAAATTGACTTTTGAAGACTACCGTCTTCTAGACGTTCCATGGCGATGTCGAGGAAGTGAAACTTTCTGTCACTTTCATGTTCCATAGTAAACTCAATATTGGCGTGTGCACCACTGAATAATTTTAGTAATTGTGAAGCATGACTTTCATTGTTGCACACTATAAATGTGTCATCAACATAATGACAGTAGGAAGATGTTTCGTCTATTGCATGTTTCAACTTTGTTCTTTCAAGGTTTGACATGAATATATCTTTTAGAACAGGGCTAAGTGGACTGCCAATAGCTACACCATCCATTTGGCGGTAAAAAGTGTTGTCAAATTGGAATTGCACATCCATGGTACACATAAGCAGTAGGCGTTTGAATTCCGACTCTGGGAGTGGGGAGAAGATCGGAATGCTGACAAATGGTCTCAATAGTTTCATTGATTGGAATCATTATGACACCATGAAATTATTTAGAACGTTCATGTGGTTCACACTTTCAGATAAATTAACTTGTTCGATTTTCAATTGAACTTGACCACGAAATGATAACAACTAGTAGAGTGGGAGTAAAAGTTATTGTCTCAGTATACTTAAATAGGTAAAACGGTGGGGGTTAATTATGATTTGAATTTCTTCAAAAAGTCATTTTTGTGTAATTTTGTATAACATGCTTAGAGGAATGTTATAATCATATCAGATTTTACGTTGGGTTGTTTTAAAGGTGTTCTACCAACTTTTCTATATAGCTAAGATACACCTTTTACAATTTGCTATATTATGCGCGAAAATACTATGCAGTCGTTTTAATCTCCATCCTAGTTAGTATGCCACTGTAAATCAAATAGTGTTGAGCACTCAATTAATCCTAGTTCTGTACAAACTAAAAAGAACGCACGGATATTTCTCTTAGGTTTCCAGAAGTCTTAAGAGTAATGTGGACTGCTAGTGAAATGTGAATTAAAATGATTTTAAACTATAGAGTGAACTTATGCAAAGGAGCGTTGTTGTGTCTGTGATAAAACTGGATTTGCTTTCATGCATACTATCACTTCAACATACAACAGTATTCGACTTTTCACTTGAATACTATTCCTACAACTAGAAAAATACATATGACTGACTGAGAAAGCAATATGAGTAGAAAATACGAGTGATTTGTATGATTATTTCACATGAACAATAAATTACTAGCTGAGGAGATAAAAATTATGCCGCGACTGGTTAGCCTATGCCAATAAAAACTCAACGACGACACCTTTAATCTACATTATAGTCAAATGTTTAATTTACAGATGACTTTGAAAACAGTGACTCCCTCATTTTATCCAAACAAACACGATTACCATTTGACTAGTAGTGAAGAAACAGACACAACTAATGGCTGTCTTGTTTGTTTTGAGCACTATTCATCGATACTATGAGTACAAACACCTGCTTAAACGACAATCGAAGGTATACTTCCTTCAGTTTACGATGAACAGTTCAATAAGACACAGCTAGTGTACCAATGGGTTATCTTTATGTAACACAGACAAGAAGGCAAGTCATCGGCTTCTTTGATGGAGACATTCTTTTTGTAACAAGCTTAGAAGTAATTGGTCCGGCTAAACACGTGTTAAGGACAGATTAGTGAACAAAGAGATCGCTTTATGACACTTCTCTTAAAAGCTGTCAATGGATAAGAAAAGGTCAGAGATTATCCTGAGTCAGTAACTAAATAAATCAAAGTTACTTGGGAAATAACAATATATGAATAATAGTGTACAACATTACGCAATCGATAGGGTTGACAACTAATTATTGAAGTAATATTTAGAACAACATATATAAGCGAACAATACTGTTTTCAATTAGATCTCCCAAAACTTGAAAACGGGAAATTGAAAGACATCATCAAGGAGTTTGACATGTATTACCGATATGTCAATCATACATTTATCTTAGCTGATGGGAATTTTAACATAGACGAATCATTGATGAAATTCAACAATGTCCACCCTTCCCTTGCTTTTACTTGTCAAGAGGAACAGTATGGTAACCTGCATTTCCTGGATGTCTTGCTAAGTAGACGAGAAGATGGGTCACTTGAGAGAAGTATGTATAGAAAAAGCATATTCACAGGGCGATACTCAGACTTCCTAGTTACGTGCCCATTAAATATAACAGAAATGTCATTAAATGTCTTATGAGCAAAGCAAGAAAGATACGTACGAATAATCACTTACAAAAGGAGTTTGAATATATTCACGATTCCTTGATGGAGATGGGATATTCTAGTAGTTTCATAAAGAAACATATGAAAACATCAGATAGAAAACCTGAGACTGTGACTGCACGTAAGAAACCCCTATTTATTAAGTTACAATTTAATGGTGACTTATCAGGTGAGATTCTATTCCAAAGACTTTCAAGGAGTATATGAAGAACATTTTACGGAGCACACCTATGTTTGTCATTCTCTAGCCGACAAATGAATGGAACGCAAACGAAGGATAAGCTTGATAGTTTTTCCATGTATATTTATCACTTTAACTGCATCTGCAGTGACAGTTATGTTGGGTGTACTACTAAGGCAGCTTAGCCAAAGTATTAGTGAACATCTTCCATCGTGGTTTGGAAGTGGACACACCAAACTATCCGTAGCTCAATTTTGTCACATTTAATTGGTAGCGGTCATGTAGGGGAGAAAACGAGGGCCTTCAAATTAATTCATCGTATCCCGACGAATCTTTCCAATAGACTTGGTATTCGTCTGCTGCACACAGCCGAAGTGATAGGCATTCGAACTATTAAGCACAGACTATGCATTACACAGAAGTTCGTACGACCATTATCCCTTCCTTGGCCTATTTGGACATGATGACTTCTCCACCACCCCTTACTTATATTTCCAACCCTTCTCTTATCATCCTTTAATCTTATCACATCTTCAATAAAAACGTGTTTCACGTACTTCCCTAACAACCTAGCATTACTTAATCGATCATTTGTTTTTCTTAGCCTTTATTGACTACTTTTACCTGAATATTTGTTTGTTTAATCATGCTGTTTTTCGTTACTCTTGTTATCACAGATTGCCTCACTTTTTCATCCTTATTATTGATAGAACCATTATTTTTATTATCATTACTACTATTATGACTAATTGCACAATTTATATTCACCATCGTATTATCCTATAGACAAAACACCATGATTGGTTTATATTTGAATTTGTATTTGTAAAGTTATGTGTATTACAGTAAGCCTCATGAGATCTTATTGAAAACAATATTGTTCGCTTAAATGTGTTATTCTAATTAAGTAACGAATAAACACTTAGAGATAATTGATAAAAAACACATGAGAAAGGGATTGATAATGGGTTACAAAAATAACAAAGTATACAGAATTTATTATACAACATTTCAGTAAAATAACATTGACACTAAAGTCATGGTAGTAGAACAGACTGGATAAAACATTTCTGAACACAGAGTTTCTTATGGACTTCTACAGCTTCGACTGTATGCAGAAGATTTAGTCGGAATCCTTTTGAATGGCTTTAACTCACTCTGTTTCTGAATGAAATCTCTGCTTTTGCTGAATGTTTAAAAGTAATAGTGCGTCCCAGAAATGAGCTATTAACCATTCTGAGTTCTATTTTCGATATCCATGCTGGAAAGTGTTCACTCTCATGTCTGGACAATGCCCTGCTAGGGCATACTATGTACTTAACTCTACAGGAGAAAGTGAAATAGTAAATGCACAGTGAAGCGGCCAACAGTAGGATCTTATCTTTAACATTCTGGTGAACAAGAGCATATGTGGAGAAGGCGAGGCTTAGAGTTGCTGCGAAGAATGTTCTTTGAAAAGCTTATGATTGACGGTGTTAGGGGACTTCATTAATTATCTCCTTTGAATTACAGATTTCTAAATGTTTATCAAAAAGTCACTAGGTATCGTTATAATTTTATTCATTTATGATCTTGCTAAATGTAACTATTATTAAATACATATCAATCGACTTCTCTTACAGAATACGCTTATGAAAGATGTCATGATGATGTGAATCAAACTGCATATTGTAGTAAAGCAGTTGTTGAAAATAAATGTTACGATGAACCACGATTTGCTATACCTTTCTGCAGACGTACATGTGGAAGATGTTTTCGAGCAGGGTCAATGGGAATATCAACACCTCCAAAAAAATGTAGGTATGCTTAAGAAGTTAACTGGATATTTGTTTAACCATTTACTCACCAACTGCTTGTTTTAGTAAAGTCCTTCTCGACGTCTTTTGCTATCTGTAAGAATTAAATTTTATATGTCGAGATAGAAGACTAACTTTGACAAATAACAACGAGAATACCGCCTACTTTGGACGTCATGATTTGCTGATCATCTGCACTCAACACTTAATCACATGTTATTGTGCCTGACAGAAATAAACAGTGTTGTGCTGTAAAGACAAAAAGCAAGAGCCAAGCAACAGATCGTTCATTGAGGAAATCAACAGATAGTTACAGATTTTTATGTACATTATTATTCGTTATTATTAGCAGAGAAACAGCGTCTTCTGATTGGTTGTTTTCTCGCTGAAATTTATTCTGTCATCTCTTTGTGGCCATTTCTTTGAAGGTCTCACTATATCTCTGCTAGGCAAAGTTAAACTTTAAGCACCAATCACTACCAATCATCGAATGACCATGAACGCACCAATCACGTGAAGAAGATATTTTATGTGTATGGAATAGCTACATTTAGAAAACAAATGCATAAAAACTGTCGCAAAGTGTTACTAAAGTTACCTTCCTCCCACATGTGATAAAGAAATAGCTCTCAGTTTTAGGTTGGAGTATCAATAGAGTATAATTCCATTGTGTGTAAAATTTATTTTGATAAAGTCTCATAGTTTAATACAGTAATAATTACTGAGCAGTAAATTGTGCTCAAGACGTCATCAGTAATTATTGCTGTATAACACTGTTAGACTTTATCAAAATAAATTTTACCCACAATACAATTATAATCTACACCAGTGCACAAGTTCTATTCATACACCAACAGAGTAATTTAGCCACATTCTATGCATGTAAATACTTAGGTCTTCTAACCCTATCAATAACCCTAATCTTCTCTGAACCTAGCCCTAACATCAAAATATCCCTAAACTAACTGTAATCTAAGTCGAACCAACACTAATGTCGCCTTTATTAGCTTAACCTGACCCAAACTTATCCTTGACTTAAGGCGTAACTTAATCTTTTTCAAACCTAAGCTGAAACTTGCCAGATATCCCATTTAATAGCATGACAATTCGATGAACGCATTTTACTGATGATGAAAACATTATTTGCCAGGTTTCACTAACTTGCTCAGTGGCAGTTTCAAGGTCATTGGTGTTGTCGCACTGGTGCTTAAAATTTAACTTGCCACCTGTGAATCGTATCCGCTCACGCAGTCTGCTGTGATTGGTCGTTGAGTTACATTCTCATGACCAATATTCGGGACGTAAACACTGACGTAAATTGCTGTCTACCAATTTTCACTAGCAGACAGCTCTCATCACTGTGTTATTTACTTAGTATGGTAATCTCATTACACATTGCGTCGGTGGCACAGTGGTTAGGACTATCGCCAACCATGCACATGGTCTGAGGTTCGACTCCCTGCCGGCGCACACCTGATATCTATGGTTGGCCTGCGAAATTTGGGCTACCGATATCCATGCTGAAAATTCCATACGTGTACCAAAAATACAGTCGGGAATCAAGCTGTAATCAAAAAAACAAGTAACAAGTGGATTTCCATCAGAACACTTTGGATAGGACATTTATGCAAGTCATTATTTGATGATTACTTCATGCCTAATGACATTTACAGATCACTACACCTGCTTCCGTTTGCCTATAATGCGCAGTTAATTACTCAAGTAAACAAGTTTCGTCCTAACCCTTACTAACTGGAAATATAAACAATAATTATGTTTTAGTGAATATAAACTGAACTGCGACAGTGAACAACATTTATGAATAAAACTTTTGTAGACTTAAGAAATATCACATCATAAAGTAAGCGGCATCATTACAAAATTAACATATTGTAAAGAATTAAAACAATTAGTCCTTTGATAAATTTGAATAAGTCATTTAGAAGATGAATTTCGCGAGATGATATCGTCATTTCGTAGCTTCTTTACAACCGTTGTTCAACTAACATGGTTCACAATAATAATATAATAATAGGCATGACAATTACTCAGTTATATAAAACAAAAGTACATACTAATGACCAATCATATTTAGATAGGTAATGTTGTCCATTATGGTAGGCGAAGGTTGAAGTCTACTGTATTTTGTACACACAGTTTAGGATATATGTGATTAATCCCCAAAGTGATTCCATCATCTGTAATAACCAACCTTGAATTAGAGTTATGTCAAATCATTGTGAAATAGTCATTAATATTGATTTTGTAACCTGAGATTGATAAGTGATTTGCAATGGATGATTATGGATTTCTATTCAGATTAATTGCATTGGGATTCCGTATGTGTTTTATTAATCCTTTTAGAGCATGTTCTTTTCGACGACAGTGGAACATTCTGTTGGTTCTACCTATATAGTTGTCACCGCAGCTGCAGGTGAACTTGTAGATACAGTTTGAAGTAGAGTCCACAGAATTTCGTCTCTTATTCAAAGGTGAAGGGATCGAAAATGTTCGAGATGTGAGGGAAAAATAGGCGATGTAGAATGTGTGTGTGATGGCTGATCGACGTCTTTGAGCTGTCCACTGCATAATCTGGTCACTCTCGAATGGTAGGTTAATAAAGATAGCTTTCTTTGGTACAGAAGCTGTCTTTTCTAGATATGGTCTACCCTTACTGTGACAAATGATAAAGTTTTCCGGATAACCATTAGCTAATAAAAATGAAAGTATACATCGAAACTCACCCACCAATGTGTCACTCGTGAATAATTTTCGGGCCCTTGATAACAAACATTTCACTAGTGAACGTTTATACTGGATAGGAACAAAACTGGTAAAATGAAGATATTGTCCACTTCATGTCTGTTTACGAAAAATAGATCGCTGAATCGTTCTATCATCTCTCCTGGTAACTGTAATATCCAGGAAACCGAGTTTGTTATTCGATTCTAGTTCGGAAGTCACTCGGATATTTGGATGAATATGAGTAAATAGAGTAATAAAGTTTTCAAGATGCTTACTATCATCCTTTGCAAAGCACTTATTAATGGCAGGCATCACAAAATCAATATGAATGACTGCTTCACAATTATTTTACACAACTCTAATTCAAGGTTAGTTATTACAGATGATGGAATCACTTTAGAGATTAATCACACACATCCAAAACTATGTGTACAGTCGAAACGATAGACTTCAACCTTCGCCTGCCGTAGACTTCTTGATCTATTTAAATAAGATGAGAAAGAAAACGAGTGGGAACTAAGCAATTTCACTAAAAGTACTTATTCAACTGAATAAAATACTATGTTTACTTTAAAACCTTTTTATACGCAATTTTTCTTCCAAGATCATGCTTTTGACGTCATCGTTCAGTTTTTCAGATAAAGTGACGTCAAAAATTCTTTTCTTTTTCAATTAGTTTGGTTATTTTTTTAGTGTGGTCATCTTCCATAGTTTGGTTGAACACGAAACCATACCTGAAATAAGCTTAGCATTTTTGTATTTTTTTTTCAAATTGTCATTGCGTAGGAACTTATGAATCATTACTGTCTAAGGCTGCCATCACAGAAAACGCATAACTATGGCATGTCGAAGGTATATGGCATTGGTGCGAGTAAACGCCACTAAGTCAGTTATTCGTTCTTACCTACAATTAATTCTTGATATGAGAACAACTAAAACTATTAATCAGTAATAATGATCATCATTTGTTGGATAAAGGTTCAGCTATTCAAATTTCCCTCCCGTCTAATTTAACCTTTTGATTTGTATGCTAAATTTTCTTGTTATTCAATTCTTGCTAAATAACGACCGTTTCAGCTTCTACAATACACATGTAAAAACAGAAATGTCGAATATGATGACGTGCAAATAGATGTGGCCATATACAGATATACAGGTATTCCTAGACATATGGATTTCAAAATGCACGAACCATTATTGTGTTTCGTAATGTCGGTGGAGCATGATAAATCATACAAGGGTCGATTCCATCTTTTTACTACAACAGTTGTGCAGTTTTCTCACATAAAAAAGAATATGTGGAGTGGCTTTTCCCTGTTTGTTTCACTATTGATTTACTACTGTCAAGTGTATCTCTTTCAACTTTGAAATGACTGGAGTTTTAGACTTTCTCTAAGAATTAGTACCTATTTGAACTGACTAGTAATCTAAGCTGTTATATCGTTAATTAATTTAATTTCTCTTTTTAACTTTTAAGTATTAAAATAGACTATGAGCTGACATTAATCTTACATCACTCACGAAATCTGCTGCGAAATGAGGCAGCCTGATTAAAATCTGGGCTACCAAAAGCTTTCATCTCTCTACTACATATATTCTCTCTCGTTCGGTCTGTTTTAATCGATTAAGGTATGACCTCTAATGGTATTATCTACTCTCATGTGTATTTAAAATGTTTATAAGCTCCTGATTCACAAGTTCCTGCTAAACTTAAGGAAAGGTCTAATTGTGGTTGGCAACATGTTCCAATACTCGAGGTAACTGAGTGACTCTAAACTATGGCAGTCCAAAACGAAACTACCTCCAGCAACCAATCAGAAGCGTCCAATGTAGAAATGCGTAATTTGAAATAAACATGTATATTCAAGTAATGCAACGTTAAAAAGTGGTTACATCGGATAGCATTCTTGTATATGTTACAGGAAAACCTCACAGTTGTCCTAATAGTCAGGTTAAACTAATTTCTGTACATAAATTCGTCAAGGTCATCAATGCGTACATTAGGTAGCTTCGTTTTGGGCACCTATAGTTTAAATTCAACTGTCACGGATTTCTTGAAGGACACAAAGCAGATATATCATAATGGAATGGATTGTGCTTCAGCTCAAAGACCATTGTGTCCCTGTGTGGTGAGAGCAGCCTGCTAGCCAATTGGTTGACATTAATCTACGTCAATGTCTAGGTCACTAATATGGGCCGTGAGAAAATATGAACAAGGCTGTTTCAACAACCAATCACAGCAAACTTAAAAGTGGGCAAATATGATTCGCAGATAGATGGCTCCACTTTCCGAGGAACTAGAAAACAACAAATCAGAAGACTGCGTTTGTCTACTTGACTGGGCTGTAATAATTATATGTGAAATTTATATAAATACATGTTGTTTTCCGTAATAAAACGATCTGTTGCCTGGCCCTTGTCTTCTGTTGTTACACCTGGATATACTGTCAATTAACATTTTATTTGAAGATATTGTATGGAGGGGAAATGTCATGCAATAAACTCCTCTGAGAATTCTATACGTTTTATCAATACCATGCAGAATAAAAATGTTATTATTAAAAAGGATAAAGAACAAGATTCACATTTTCAACATTAATATCAAGCCAGTGCTTCCATGTGGGTCAGAGACTTAGTGCATCACCAGGAGAATTCTAAACAACCTTTTGCAGACTCTAACGAACAGCTGCCTACTCTGACTCCATACTGAAGATCAGATGACCAGCCAGAAAAGAATAGCAACAAGAAACTTTGGCCAGAAACCAACCAGGAACCTATTGCCTGGCAAATATGTCGAAGAAAATGGAAAGAGATCGGACACACGCTGAGGAGATTGGTGAGTGATGCTGCGCACTAGGCCCTAGAGTAGAACGTGAATAGGAAACGCCAAGTTAGACAAGCGTCAAGGGTGACATGGAGGAGATTGTCTGTGGAGTAGATGGCAGCTTATGGGCAATCATGCAGCTAGCCGAAAAGGACTACAGTGAATAGGATAAAATGATGTGCTGTGGAAACTGCATGTTGCAGTCGGTGCCCAAAAGAATGATAATAGGCTCTTAACCTGAAGAAAGAAGATAGAACGAAACAGAATGTATTTTAAATCTATAAACTCATTGAAATATTATTATATTTCTAAAAGATTACACTTTATTGTTGGATATTACATTTAAGAGATTCACCGAAATTTCATGCTTCTGTTTAGTTCACTAGCATTCATCATTCAGCTTGCATTCTATGTTCTTTATTCGTTTATGATTAGTAAAACTCAGTGAATTTCGACAAATGGATTAATCCATTTAGATAAACGATTTTTAATCAATTCAGAAATGGTGTCACCTTTGAATGCAAGTCTCATAAACAGTTTTTTTCTTTAGTATTGTGATTTGTCTAGGGGCGGACTCTTTCTTGATGTTACGTTCAATTAACCTTGTAGGACATCCACTGGTAAGGAGATTTGATCGAAGGTTATCTAGTTCACGACCGATTGTCTCTGTAGAGCAGATTTTACGAATTCTGGAGCATAAGGAATGAATCAGATTTCTCTTTTTCTCTAAAGGTACCCAACTGTTGAAGTTAGTGTACTGTCTTAGATACTACTAAATAACCTTCGATCAAATCTCCTTAACAATGGATATCCTGCAAGGTTTATTGAACGTAACATCGAGAAAGAATCCGCCCCAGGCAAATCACAGTACCAAATAAAAAACTGTTTATGAGTCTTACATTCAAAGGTGACGCCATTTCTAAACGGATTAATCACCATTATTTCTTTTCTGTATATTTTCAAATTGCATATACGATTTAATTTTATGTAACTCCTTTTGCTTTAGTGTGTCGAGATGTGGAAAGTGAATTGTGCGAAAATTATGTCAAAGAAGGTTATTGTCATTTTGATGGTTGGACCAAACTGAATTGTCAGCGTTCCTGTAATCTATGTCCATCTCCAGATGTGGTTAACAGACAAGTGGAAACAGGCGATGTCAGAGCTTATTTGGAAGCATATCGTAAAGGTGACTGTTTCAATCGATATGATGATCTTAGATGTGAAATATTTTCTCAACGTGGTGATTGTCGTACAAATCCAGGATTCATGTCCAGCCAATGTACACAATCATGCGGCTTATGTCCAAAGAAAGAAAATCACTCGCAGAGTGGTAGTAAGAAAAACATTTCTGAGACAACTCGTCAACCAATACCCTGCAAAAACTACATTGATGATCAACGATGCGATGCTCTTGCTAAAGAAGTAATTTTTCCATTCTTATTCTTATTGTGTGCCTTGTACTTGAATTTCATTTGATTTTGCCATCAAAGTATGCTCGTAAAAATATAAAAGCACAAAATGTTCAGTGTTGAGTGCTCACTCACTGTGCACAATTGGAATTCTCATGGTTTCAGATTTCTGTCTACTGGGCATATGAGTCTAGTGGTATCTGATACCACCAGTGAGCACCTGACTTCATAGCCAACTTGACAATCACATCTACACATAAATTTTCGGAAATATATATCAGTCCTGATATATATCCTGATATCAGTCCTCACTATTCAGCAGTTGATATATACTACGATATTAAGATTAGGGGTATTTGATCTGATCTGAGGACGACTTTACTACACATAGAATCAGCCGGAAAACCTTTAGAAAACCATAGGCACTAGATAATTGCTTTACCCTAATTCGGTCTGCTGATCGATGACATCTGATGGTGGAATATACCCTGATGAAGTCAGTCAGTTACCTGTACATCTAACATACTAATCCTCATTAGTACTAATTTCAAAGTATTTGTGAAGATAAACAAGAATATGATCCTAATCAAGCAGAGCAGTTTAAACACCGGGATTCGCCAGTCACTTCGAAAGGTAGAATTTGTTTTTCGAAGTCGCTTCACTTATTCAAAAGTATTATCACTGGGGATTTTTAGAGGAACATAGAGTTTTTCGAAAGCACTATTCTTGTTACCTATGACGATATTAAGGAATACTTAATGAAAAGAATTGAATCACAAACTGTTTCTCAGTATCCCTACTGTAGTATAGGTCAGGTGAATAAAATCCTTTTTCAGATGTTGGAATGATGTGGACTGATTGATATCGAGATGGACACTGTGACTAATAAACATCACTCGTGATGGCAGATAATTGCGAATGATACTGGTCTGCAGTGGCTAAAAAGAGCAAATTCGCTGTATTTAGGTTTCTGAGATAATGCATTCCAACTGCACGAATGAATGATAACGTTTCCGACTTTTAAGCTGAAAGTCTTGCTTTTGATCCATATGTGGTCTTTGGCACCCAGTGCTGAAGATCCTCAGAGTGTTGTGAAACAGCTTTCCAGTGCCCGGAGTATTTCATTTGTTCGCTGACTGGTATCAGTTTGTGACGAAATCGTTTTTGAAATAATGTTCTTTTATTGTGCAATATCAAAACTGTTGTCAGGCCGAAACGCTGCATCACCTACATGAAGTCTTTGACTGGTTGAAGGACTTCATCATGAACTAACATCAGTTAGAGAACCATTGGGAAATCTGGGAGTGCTGGATAGCTGTTTCGTCCTGGTTTGGTGCCCTTCAACAGTACGCACCCGTCGCCATAGTTCGAACCCGGGACATTCTGGTTACAAGACCTGCTAACCTGTAGACCATTAAGCCACTGGGACGCGATCCAATAGCCAGCCCATGAATTCTAACTTCTGCCTATTCATGATATAGCGCGACCACTTCGCAATGTCTACTTCGATGAGTTACTGTCTCACCTTCAACCTGCTGCACCCTACTAGTCACGGCTTCTAACTGGAACCCCAGGTCACTACCTGGGTAGGGCCAGTCGCTAGTAAACATCAGGCTGATTTTCAAGCACTGGTTTTCGTAGGGATTTTGTTTGATCGGTTGAAGAGTCCCAAACTAGTCTGACGAAACAGCTGTCCAGTACTCCCAGGTTTTCCAGTGGTTCTACAGCCGATGTCAGCTCATGATGAAATCCTCAAACCATTAAAACTAAATCCCTATAAAACGAATACTTGAAAAAACATAAGGTCCTTAACTGCTGGTTTTTAAGAGACGAAAGGAAATGTAAACCGTCTGGTTAGTTCTTGGAGACATGAATATTCACTGGCTGGAAACTGTTAGTGACATGAGTCAAAATCATTCTCAATACCTCAGAAGTATTCACACTTTGAAATCTCCCGAATACATCAAACTCTCATGTTTCTCCAAGCTAATATACTTCCTCCCTCACATTTCTTTTGGATCTCTCTTTTTCCCTCTTTTAATTACCTTGGTTTCCTACATGGAGTATGGCAGCTTAAATTGCTGTACTTCTGTGCAGATTTCCACGTTAAAAATTCATTCCATTTCAGTGTAGTGCCTTGTCCATAATAACTGGAAGTAAAATACATTTCAACAAATTATTTACCTTCTATTTTCAGGGGAAGTGCCATGGCACTACACTGAAACAATGTCTTGGTTCGTGTAATAAATGCGGAGAAAACTATCCAAGACAAACTACAGAAAATCCCCCTAATCTTGTAACAGACAACACAAATCATACCGAGAATTCATTACCTACGGAATGTAAAGATAAATCAAATTTATGTTCATTTTACAAAGATAGAAATGAATGTAAAACACATAAAGTTATTAGATTAGAAATCTGTCCTGAAACTTGTGGATCTTGTGAAACCAAATGTGAAGATTTTGATTTACCAAATATCTGCGAAGATCTCGTTCAACGTGGCTATTGTAAACGCTCGAAAGCATACGCTGAAAGATGTAGGAAAAGTTGTGGGCTATGTGGAGATGAAATTATTCCAATGGGTGCTTCATCACCATCAAGTATGCTAGAAACCGAAATGACACCTTTTGCTACTGAGGTCACTAGTCCATCAGTACAGTCGACGGTTGATACAACTATTCCTACTACAACTATGGTGGTTACGACAAAAACAGCTATCCCCATTACTGAAAGCTCTACTACTCCTGGAGAAGTTGTTTCAACCAAGTTCAATATGGTATCTAGTTCTCTTAAAAAGCCAACACTACTTCGAAAAAACCCGTCGTCATTGCCAAAATATGTAAATAAGAGAACATTTACACCTTCAGAATGTAAGACATATTTTATTTGGTCTGATTTCCACGTTAATTTTTAATGTAATCATTTTTAAATATTAGGATGAAAAGATGTTTTTCATACGATATAAATCTATGATGCTGGATTGACCTCCCTAAATTTTCTCTAAGGTTACTCAAAGATCATTCCAAATGCTGAGTAGTATTTCTAGACAAGTTATATGGTATAACAAGTAATACAGTTATAGATCAAATTCGCGGATTCCTATCACCAGCTACCCAAATAGCTAGCCAGAATTCGGGTTGTCTAACAGGATTGGTCGAAAAAAAAAGGCGAAACGGCCATCTGGTGTTTAGATCATTTAGATCTGGCTAGCAAGAACTGTTAATTGATGTGAATTGCACCTAACTACTCAAATTAGTCTATCAGTAGTGTATAAGTATCAAAATGGATTTAGTCACGTAAAGCCGTCATACAAAGAACCCACAGAAGCCGGGAAATAACTACAAAACTTCTTCATTTTTATATCGGACTCGTTAGAAGTTCAAATAAGACATCATGTCAAGTAAGAAGGTCAAGACTTTAATATTTATGATAGAATCCAGAGGTCACCATTAGCTGTTTAAAAGAAAAGCAGAACCACGAATTACCGAAACAACCAGATAGGAGAGAAAGTATCAGAGAATTCAGCAACGAGTCTACGCATTGCATTTTGTCCTTGTCTATTTATCGATGTGTTTCCAAAAGACCTTTGGGTGAAATCTGTTCATCTGCCTGTTACTGCCATTACTATTACAAGACTTGGGTGCTACCCGTATAGGAATCCATATATGATTAAGGCCAGTTCATAGTTTATGTGAAACACATATTTTAGCTCTGAATCTTTTGTGTCTGTTGTCACAAACAGAACACTGTTCAAAACTTCAATATGCTGATATTCTGAGAAATATTAAAACTAACTGGTTTTAATTGGTCAACTTAAAGTATTTCTTTTTACTTGGCTTAGTGGATAATTTGCGTCATTGTTTTCTTAGCTGTAAATGAAAATCTCTAGTATAACATGAAAAGTTGAGTATTTTTCAAGGGTGTGTACACAAAAACCAAAATACACAACGGAAAGTGATAAAAGCCATTTAATTCATGATACTACCAGGAATGTAAACAGCTGAAGTATGAAGTGAGTATTCAATTTAGACAGCTATTTGTAGAAATTTAACTAGCTTTTCACTTTAATAATTTCTCTCGTTTAGAAAGCCGACATTTTTATTAATAATATTAATCACTTTATTCCACAACAATAACAATTTACAGCATGGAATTTTCAGCGCTTCTTTTACATATTTCAATGGTTTAGCTCTGTTTATAATTATATAAATGTATAAAATGTTAAAATATTGATAGTTAATAGGAAAAAATAAAACCCCAACAAAATCACATAACTGCTAGGTCATAGTGAATAATAAATAAATAACATAACAAATAACACATGCGTTAATATGCATCATTACATTTTATAGTTTAGTTAATGATTTAAAAGTTGTAAAATTTCTTTTCTGATAATTGTCTCTTCACACAATACTCGTGCCAAATATGGTACGGTCGAGTTTTTATATTTTGCAGTATGAGCATAAATGTTTATGAAATTTCTTCTGGTCTTACCCGAAGAGATACAAGGAAACAATTGTGAATAAAGAGGAAGTTCATTATCAGATAAGATAACTTTAGCTAAGTGTTTACAAGAATTCATATGCCTATTGACAACAGTGTCATTTAGTTGAGTCAAAGGGATAGCACTGACCCTACTTACAGCCCTCAATGTTCTTCGTAGTATTATATGGTCTTTCTTGAGTAGCCCAGGGAAGAATAATAGAGAACAATAAAGAATGATGGGCAAAACACATGAATTAATAAATTGTATGAGAAGAGATTGGGTTATACCTGAGTGCCTCAACTTCTTTATGTAATAAGTCAGACGGAAAACTTTCTTAGAAACTATAGAAAATATGAGACGACCAGCAAAGGTTTGAAGAGAAACTAATGCCAAGATAAGAAACAGTTGACTTACTCTCTATCATGGTAGCCATCTTTTTTCACTTTCTTTACTCATAAAACGTAGAATTTTCATTCACATTTTAAGCATGTTAGTTTAAAATATCTGACGTCTTCGGCTAGTATTTGTCCTTACGCCCGACCACATGAACCCCACTGGCTACGATTTCTCACTAGATTTTCAGGAAACTTCATCCTACTGCCAGTCACTAGCCAGCATCAGAATATTTTTCAAGAGTTGGTTTGTGGGGATTTGATTTATTTCATCTCTGATAACAGATCGATGTCACTTAGAGAACCACTGAAAGCCAAGGAGCACAAGACAACTGTTTCGTCCTAGTTTGAGATTATTCGTCAGTACGCACGCAGGATCTTCTAGTTACAAGCCAAGGTCGTATATCATTCAGCCATGGCAATCCCATCCTGTTGCTCATGAGTTCAAGGTCCAACCATTTCTTGATTCTAGCACGACCACCAACTAATGTTTTTGGCAAGTATTTGTCATTACGGCCAGTGGATGCTTTCTGCTAAAGAATCCCAAATTAGGATGATACAGTTTTCAATCCTTGCTTAGTTTTCATTGGTTCTCTGAGTGACACTCATCCAACATCTAAAGTGAAATAAATCACACTCCGACAAACTAACTTTTGAAGATCATTCTGATGCTTTCTAGTGACTCGTTACAGGAAGAAGTCTCATGGGGCATCATGAACGGTGAAATCTCTGAGTTAGAAATCATTCACTTAAAAGTAGAAAGTTGTAGTGTTACCTTTTTATAAAAGTTCATTACTTCATGTTTAATGTTTCAACACTTTGAAAATGTTTGGGGGGAATAATATACTTAACGTATAATACTACTTGTATTGTTTCACACATTTTACTTTCAGTCATATGTTTAAACTTTGAGAAAAAGCAGTGTAGGTTAGTGATCATCTAGTTATCCAGAAATCATTTGAATTCGATATGTGTAAAAGTAGATGCAGGGTTTTGGACTTAGTGTCAGTGATTCAGTGGCAGAATACTCGCCAACCATTGGCTTGGTTCAGGGTTCACTTCCGAACTGATGTAATTCTAAACCTAACTAAGGCGACAGTAAGCACAGCAAAGAGGAAAAGTTAGGCGTGAGGCTAGCAAGCCCACCCCGTAAGCATGAAACCATTGTTACTGGAACTTCGAAACTCAGGCCTATGTTCCAGTTGGAAAGAGAAGGAAGAAAATAATCTGCTATTAGCAGTATTCGAACAAAATAATTCGAATTTATGCTTCAGTAAAAAGTTATCAACAGATATCAACTTATCTGCATACTCATTCTGGCCAGACTTTCTGCAAAAGAGGAAAAAAGTCATGACATTGGGCTTCATTGATTTCAGAACGCTTAAAAGTGTTCGATTATTACAGGTTAGCGTCATAGTGCTCTGAAAGTGGCACTAGCTAACTGTTGATGTAGCTCTTCAAAGTGCAAAATATTACATTACTGTCAAAGGATATGATACCTTCATTTTAGTAGTAAGATCATGAAGTTGAACTATTCATTCCCCTAATGGTTGTAACCCTTGCTGCTTAGAATTTATGTGACTTTTTAAATATAAACCATTCCAAAGTTATGAAGAATCGATGTTTTATGATATTCTATCATATTTATTCTGTTTTATCTCCTAGATCCTTCTGAAAATAAAGAGGAATGTGTTGATATATCACCGAAATCATCTTGTTTAGCATGGAAAATGATAGGTTATTGTAATTTTTCACATGTTTCTAAGTTGTGTTTAAAAACATGTTATTTATGTGAAACTGTCGAGTTATTGAGTAAATATAAACCATTAATATTTTAAATTTCTTCTTGTTTTTCTTCAAAACTTGTATCTCAACATAATTTCGTTTTGTTCTGTTTTGTTTAACCTTATTTTAACTCATTCACGTAATCATTGCAGCTACAATTATTTTGTTAATTAATTGTAATGATGACTATATCATAATCTAGTTTGCATCATATCCTTTTTTGTAACAATAAAAGTTATAACAAAGCATATAAATTGTTTTGAATAAGTCAATTATGTTTCCATTTAAAGGATTAAGAAATAAAGTAGCAGAACACCAGGAAAGGCCAAGTTACACTTTAAGCACCACTAACTACCAATCTGCGAACGACGTCGAAGTATCCAATGAGATTCACGAACGTTAGTTCAATGTTGTATAGCGCTTGATTCATTTCTATTGCGTGCCCTTACAAGGTTAGGCTTACAATTCAAGGAGGACATTGTTTTCAAGTATTGCCTGGATTTAGGGTTGCTGCGGAAGCAGCGAACTTGTTTGTGTGATGTCATGACTTTAAAAAGCTATAGCAGGTCGACAGCATAGTTGAGCAATATGCTCGAAGAGAGTTAACATTACAGAGGATAAGCTGATAATTTTAATATTTCGTAGGAACTTTTTTGTAAAGTCACACCTCTCCTTGAGGCAAATTTGGCAACCCTAAAGAATAGCAGCCCAAACTGAAACGACCTACGAACGCACAAGTGACCTTGACAAGGACAACTTCGACCAATCAGAAGGCTCAAAAACGGCGCATAATTGTAAGAAATCGTATATATAAAAGTGATGGAATGTTGAAAACAGTTACAAAGGATAACGTTCTCGTATATGTTGCAAAAAAACCTCCCAATTTCTCATGAGTCTTAATACCCATGTTAAACCAAGTTCTATACATAAACTCATCCAGATAACTGTACATCATTGGATTTCTTAATCCATTCATCGATCTAATCGGTTTCTTTGGGTGATTCCAAAAACTTTCGATGGAATTAGTGTGAGTTCCATCCAAAGGATTGCGAAAACCGTTTGTGTGGTTGACTACATAATGAATATACCCGAGATTCAAGAATTGACCGTAACTGCTCCATTCATCTGTATGAATAGTCTTCCCAGACAGCACTAAGCGCTGGATAATAGCCAATAATACAGCTGCACTGCAATTAGGGATCGCCTCAATATATCCTTTCTGGAGGCTGCTGTCTTATATCTTTAATACTTATTACTGATTCGCACTCAATCTCCCTCGATTTTATTATCTTTTTACCAAAAGTACCTAAGGAATCTGTAAATTAAAAACGAATGACATACGTTCTCGAACTGATTTTCTGGTTTGGAATTCATTTCACCAACAAATAAACCCATCGATGCACCTATTGTATCTCAGCATATGAATTACACCTCCACATTAACAATTTTTCGACCTTACTATCAGTCCGTTCTCTAAACAGTAATCCAAACAACATCTGGAGCGAACTTGCAACAAAAAATGTGTACAGCACCCATAAGTACGTCTGGATATAAAACAGAGTCAAGAGATTGGTTGCTCAGGGTCATTTGTCCGTTCGCTAGGTCGTTTTTGTTTAGGCTGCTATTCTTTAGAGTTGCCGCAAATTTTTTATATCTGTCATACTGGGTCTTGAAGCAGCCAGTGAGAGCCGCAGCAGCTGAGACGGAGAATAGCCTCGCCTAAACAGTTCAATGATATCGGCATTGCACAGATATTGCCTCTTGGAAAATGGATAAAACCAATTCTTTTTGGGTGGAGAAAACGTTGTTATGCACGTCGACTAAACTGTGTTGGTGAAGTAGAAATACAACCGTGGTCGCCAGCGAGTGAACAATATTCGGGTAATAGTTTTGTATGACGCCTCCCTCCGAAAGGGATTCGTCGAAAGGATAACAGACAGAAAAGCAACCACTTTAATCCCTATTATTACCAGACTTGTAAAACGGGGATCAGTAATACACACGGACGAATGGAAAGGTTACGATTCCCTGTCATCTCTGGAATATATTCATCATACAGTCTACTATTCATGTGATTTTGTGGATCCCGCTACGAGGACACATACTGATTCCATTGAAGGATTTGGGGGGAGTTGAAAAATAGGATAAGGGCTATAAATGAATCTCAAAAGGTCATTAAGGTGAATATATGTACGGAATGTGGTGTAACTTTTCTATTGACAGTCAGATGCCTTACTGTGGGATGTTTCTCTTACATGTTAGGGAAAGATACTCCCTGAAACAGTTTTCTATAAATATACGTTTCCATTTATCATAAATGCCTCTTTAATGTAATTGGTCCGTTCAAGGTCGTTTGCTAATTGGTGTCGAAAGTTTAACTTTTTTGATGTAATACAAGAGACACCCAGAGAAATTAACCCACCAATGACTTTGAAACGCTTAATCTGGGCAAGGCAGCGAGATCAGGTGATTATCACTATATTTGTAAAACAAATGTGTCCGAAGGAGTGAATGTACATTAAGCAGAATATATGATTTGTTCAGTTTCAAGTTAGGGAAGCATCACATCTAGAAATAGGCTCGAGATGGTCCAGGGCGATGATAAGGTTTGTTTTTCGATAGATTAAAGTTAAGTTTAGGTTAGCCAAGCATAAGACTAGGGGTATGTTTGAGTTAGATACCCAAAGTTGTTGGTGTGTTTGTTCGTTTGACCTAACCTAAAATAAGTGAAAATTTAAGTTGGAGAGAAACAATGGAAGAGTAGCACCCGGTACGGACAGCCTTCTAAGTGACCTCCATCGGCCGGTCAGTGTATATACGTCTTTATATAATAGGTTTAAACAACTCAAATATCCACTTATTTTATTACCTTGATGCATCAGTTTGCTTATTCCTGCGAAAAAATAGTGAAATTCATGAAAATGTACTATTATCTGTCTCCTGCTACAAACTACGCCAGGAAAAACCAATACAAACGGGTAAACAAGTGACTTTGTTTTATATTCTCATTGACAGAAGTATTTGTTTTAGATAGTAAAATTAGGCACGAATTACGCCATATGTAAGCCGTTATCCTAAAAGCTATCAGTTTAGTGTTCCAAATTTCTAAGTATGTCTACATTAAGTTAAAGTTTACAAATGAAAAGTTGGGTACTCAGAGATACCCCTTACGCGGTATGTTCGAATCTGGTGAAACTTTTGCACGTGTTTTCGCTGATATTCATTTTTCTGTTCTGGTATATTATCACCAATAATAATGGGCAAAAGCTATAAAAAACATGTTCTTAGAGACACTAGTAATTTAGAAAATAGCTTAAGCTTATTAACTAACGCATTATCACCCCTTAAATCAGCTGCAGTTAGTAGTTCACCCAATATAAACGGTTCCAACATAATGCTAACCCCTGTAATTCAGGTGGAAGATATCCTGTCACAAAAGGCAGGGATTACTAACTTAGTCTGCATCATAAATGACATGCAGCTACAAATAAATGAACTCAGGACGAAACTAAATCAACTTGACCTGGTACCAGAAGCAATCCTCCATCTCAAAAAGGAACTGGGGGATCTCACTTTCCTAAAACTCTTTAAGCTCAGGACTAAACCAACCGATGCTGAATTGGAACATGCTAAGGAGCTAGAAAACGTTATGGACTATTTGTCGAGCGAAGTTGTTAAGAGACTTGCTTCTAAACAGAACGCCATAGTGTACAACATACCTGACAAAGAGCCCATAAAATCGGTTCAGCACTCCTTGTTAAGAGCTGCCAACCTTCTAAGTACACCCTGTCAGTGTATTAGACTAAATAAAAAAGAGACAAACCGCACATGTCCCATACTTTTCAGGTTTGACAGCTGTATTATAGCCGAACAATTCAGGAAATCTGAGGATATTTTGGCTTCCACTACAAAATTCAAAAATCTTAAAATAGTCCCGGACAAAACCCCCAACCAACGACAAGTAGCTAAGAACACCGTAGATACGAACACGATTATACCACAAATCGTGAATAGCGTCAGTACCGAAGTGTCAAAGGACACTGCAGCACAAAGTGACACTTGCACTGTAGTAGGTGAACAAACGACACGCGAAGGCGAAGGAAAACCCAAAAAGAGCAGTAACACTGTAATGGGTCTCGAAGTTCGTGAGAACACTCCTAGTAAATCTACTGACCACACCCATGAAGTAGATGTAGATGCTCCTACTACTGATAACCTGCAAATATCGGCAGATCACACTGCACCCAGGGCCAAACAAGATAATCCCACTGTAAAAGCCGTAAAGAAGTCCCCTAAAACCAAGGTTTCTCCTCATGCATCCATATACCTCCCTTGTGACAAGCCCAACAAGCAGCATATAAGCCTAAAAAAGAACTATGCACGCACTGCGGCAGGTCCCATAAAGGAGACGGAAGACGTGAATGGAAGTGCTCCTCGTCGAACTAAGAGTAGTAGACGAATTGAGGACGACAGACTGCACAAGGTGAGAACTAACGGCAAAAATAGCTCTACCCACACAAAATCACACGCCAGCAGATATGCAAGGGGCACCGAGCTGATCAAACAGCAGAGTGATACCCACGATTTCCGCAACAGCCGAGGTTGTAATATGCCTGTAGGCACATATAACCTGAGGACGGGACCCATAATCAATAATGAAAATACATGGGCTACTAGACGGGACACCACTAGGTACCATATCAACGGAAATGTATACTCGAACCCTCGGCATAACGGGTATAGATTGGCCCCTGGTCCTTCTAGGTACACTCACGAGATGAGTCAGCAAATGTACAACTACGTAAAACCTAGCACGCACTATCCTCAAAACAACCTAAAAACAGGGTACTATGGCCCTGTAAATTACAATGTGAACAGTGAAACAGACTATTTTATGCAGAGAAATGATCCTAGATACCCACGTAATGAGGCCAGAAACGATTATATGCAACAGGATTATTTTCGGTTGCAGCAAACAATAGCCCCTCTCGCAGCACAATTTGTCCAGGGAATAGTAAACACGCTGACAATGTCTCATATGAGGATCCCTCCG